GCGGATGTCAGTACATCAGCTGTAAAACAGTTCATTTATCGAGAAGACCGGAGTAAACTGCCCTTTACTGCAAACGTAATTCTTTTCCAACCCTCTTTACAAGAATTCTGACTTTTGCAAATCCCTTTTGGATCCAGTTGATAGCTCAGAACTATGCCCATGAGTTAAAACGAGATAAAGCACTCGAACTTGAAGCTTCCCTAAAAAACTACGTCTCTTAACAACAAAATTATTAAAATCTCGTGTCAGTGACATTAAGAGGATGATGCTACTATACAGTGAGCGCCACTGCGCCAGACTCATCTATTCCTGAGCTGCACACTTCCACTTAAAACTCACTGCCTACTCGATGCATTTGTGCCATCTTTCAAATACTGCCTGACTAGGCGCTTATTTCCTCGCCGGATACCGCTCACTTATATGTGGCAACCACTAGTTATCATCAAGACAAACAACATTACTCCATTTTCGTCAGTGATCACGTTTCTCAACTGTACGTCTTGCTTTGAAAGCAAAGTGGTATTGAAGGGTTGGCACGGTCCTTCCAGTTCAACACTTTAAGGAAATGAGCATTTTTGTAATATGCCAGCAAAAATAAGTCATATTTCCTATGAGTGGGGGCAATTTCTCTGCAGATGCACTTGTTAAAATATGCAAATTATTATTAGCATGAATATGTGGGAAAATCCAAAATCATAACCTACTTTCAACAAAGGCATCTAGCAATTTATCAATCCACGCAACTAGCTGTCGCTGTTGCAGCGGCTGCACCTCCACGTTTGACAAGGCCTCAACCATCTGAAATTCATGAGAAAAAATAGTGGCAGAGAATTTTCAAGTCACAAGGAGGGAGGCTCAGTGAGTACGTAAAATCTTTCACAGAGCAATAATTTTCGTACAATAATAAGCTGCGTTGAAATGCTATATCTCCAAAAAATTGCTACAGCTTGCTCCAATTCAGTAAACAGTATCCATGCACTGTTCTGAGCTACTACGCAAATACCAAATAGCAGTCCTGCTGGTTCAATAATTTTTCACGATTCTCACTTTTACCCATATGAATAGTCCAGTCTGTGTTTACAGCTAAGGGATGAAACACACAGAGAGACTGCATCGTAAAATATCACCTTACTACTACATCTAAAGGATGAAAGATAGCTTGCACCGTAAAATATCACCTTACATATGACGCCTGAGTAAAATCCTTCTGGTCTATTACTTAGCTCAATCCTGTATCCGACACACATGCCAAACTATCTCGCTCGCTAGCAAAAGCGGAAGGATTTTTTTTCAGAACTGATTTTGAGCAGATCTAAAAGAAAGTCGTACCTGGAAGAGCAGTTCAGGTAGAACTTTGGCTTCATTCAGGTAATGGAAAACTGGTTTCCAGAAAATTTGCAAATTTTCCGGTATAATCCATATATCCTCGTTTTCTGAACCAGAAATTCATGAAAAACGTTTCATATAAACCAACTGTGGTTCAGAACAACAACATGCTGTTAAGACCAGTCATTCTGGGCTCTCCTGTTCGGGAATGGTCGCCTGTCGCGTTTGCATGATCGTGGCTTATTTTGCTAGCACAGAAGGCTTTTCCATCCGTTGCAAAATTATCGAAATCCGTTGCAAAATTATCGAAATGAAATGTTCTTGAGGGCTGGTGGCATTCTTTCGGAGGAAGAAAAAACGATAGATGGTTGGATTTCGTGGAAAAATTCAAAACGCAACTTACTGGTATTAAAAGGGCAGCGAAAAAGAAAAGTGAATAAATACATAAAAAGCAAGCTGGATTGGATTTGCACTTCTCCAAATCCAGAAACACTCGCAAACAGTCCATGACTACCACGATCCCCAGCACCACCCCCTCCCCATAGGCAGTCCATGTAAGAATTCACTAGCAGTTTAACTCGAATTACCCAAAATTCTCACCTTTAAATAACTGGAAACCCACTGATTCAACCTGCATTTCGTCCATAATCAAGTGTCCATCCTGTAAGAGTGCATCCAAGAACTCTCTGCAAATAGAACTCTTAGTCTTTCAGTTGCAGTTAAAATTGGAATTAAAACAGTAAAAGAAACTATCTCTATGATTTGCCTAACACTAAGTGTGTGTGTGTGTATGTGTGTTTGTGTGTGTGTGTGTTCATAGGCTTCAGAAAATTCAATAATGAAAATGAGTGGACAAACAAAAACCACTGCAACCTTGGCTGCGACATAACAAACGACTCGATATTCGCTAACGTAACCCGTAGTTTGTCATTTATCGTTTGATCGTTTGTGTCCTGTAATAACGTAAAAACTGTTGCTCCGAGTTGATAAAATAATAGACCAGAAAAGGACTGTACTCAGGCACCGTATGTAAGGTGATATTTTACGGTGCAAACTGTCTTTCATCGTTTAGATGCAAGTAGTAGTAAGGTGATATTTTACGATGCAGTCTCTCTCTGTGTGTTTCATCCCTTAGCTGTAAACACAGACCGGACTATGCATGCGGGTAGAGTCTCCTAGAGGGAATCGTCAGTACAGTCTCCAACCCGCCATGTATTGAAAGGACATGTAACTATTTTGCAAGACGGATATGTGAAAGGAAAGAGAGAGAGAGAAGAAGAGAAAATGCAGCAAGTTTTTTGCATTTGCAATCGATGCAATTGGCAGATAATCACACTGCGGGACATATTTAAAACAACAAGCCACTGAATCATTCATTACATTACTTGTCACCTGATTCAAATCGTGAGCGAGAGTGGCATGACACAGACGCTTTCAGAAGCTCAAGCTTTTGCTGTCCGAATTTGCCGTGGATAACCGTGAATCTAATCGATCACCAAGCAGGACCTATGGAAGGAGGCACCCCAAAACAGTACGAAAAGCCTCAAATTTGAAGCCCCGTCCCGTAACTCTAATCATCTGTTTAATCCGATTTAATGTATGAACACTGTGAGCAATTCTTTAGCATCTCGCTACAGTTCTAGTGCCGTTGTAACAGATTTCGTGCATTCTGATAAAACAGCGAGAAATAACCCTTTTGTGATTCAATTTTCCTGCCTTTTCCCACTAAGAAAAATGTATTTTTCATCTACTAGCACAAAATTAAGCGACTTCCTACACGTGCTGAATGCAAACAAATCATTAAAAAGAAATAGTGAAAAAATGGAATTACTTTTCTCACGTTTTGCAACATGAAGCGATCAAGTAAGCGACCAGCTTCCTGCCGTAATTCCGTTTCATAGTCGACATCAGAGAAATTCAAATTCATGCGAATTGCTTTAGCAACT